GTAACACTCAATATTAAGTGGGTAGAGTCGCAATTAGTAATTCCCCCTTATCGTCGTCCGTCGTCACAAGTTATATTAACATGAAAGCCATAGATTTACTATTGATACAACAAATGTAACGAGTACTCCCTCGTCTGCGTGCGAAATAAACGACGCTAAGAACTTTACACATTAAATTAAACATTAACTAACACCTAAAACATAGCGTCGAAAAGTTGGAAATACATCAGAAATATGGGTAGTAACAAATGTATGACAACGATACTCCTTCCGTTATCTGTCGGAATAAATGTCTAGGAGAATCTTTAAAGTTAACATTAAAGTAAACACCCCATTATCAATGGTAACAGGAAAATGGGTATAGAGTAGACAATGTAGAACTAGATAAGCCAGCCTTGTCTACTTATTAAGGAAAAGTGGGAGGTTATTTTTAATGAACATTAGCTTCTCTGCTTTACCAGCCATAAATCTGTTCCTCTTCTCATCAAGCACATGAGAGGCAGCGCTGAACAGTCTCTCTCTGTCAGTGCTTGTGATTTGATCTTACTCCGCATATTTGTCCGGGTGTTTTGATTTCAAGTGGTGGAGTAATCCCGAAGTGGTGAAAGTCTTTGCAGTTACACCCCCTCGAGAAATGTCAGCTGAACACGTTTTACAAATCGCAATCCGCGCCTCTTTCTCTGATATTTTTAAATATCTCCAAGCGGCAGACATGTTGGCTGTGAGCCAGCCGCGAGCATGGTCGCGCGCCGTGCTTGTCGCCGCGTTTTGATTACGTCATCACAACAACACGTTAGTTTACCAACGTAACCCTGTTCTCTGACATTCGGTGATATTTTTTCGGTGCTAGAACCCTTTCGGCCGAAAGCCGAAAGGGCCTTTTTAACCATTTTCGGCCGATAATTTTCGGCGGCCGAATATTCGGTGCATCCCTAATATCTTGGTTTAATGTAAAAATGTAGAGGATAAATTGGTGCTGATCGTAAAGTCAAAGCGTAATTTATTTACATAAGCAAAAATACTTTACATTTGTTCCAATCCACTAATGTGACTAATGGATTATTAAGATTACTCAGTTCTTGGTGCGCCAATTTGTTCGGCGGCCGATCGATCGGATCATTCCTACTAATAATAATAATAACGGAGTATATCTTCTGTGTTGCAGGTCAGAGGCGGTCAAAGGCTCCGTCATTGGCATTGACCTGGGAACCACAAACTCATGTGTCGCCGTCATGGATGGGAAACAGGCAAAGGTGAGAATGAACTTCACTGAACTCACAACTGTCATGGACAGTAAAGTATGTCGACTTTGTGACCTTAATTATGTTACGATTGTGCTTTTGAAATAGCTGGGTTTATTACATTTGTGAACTCGGTGTAGTTCAGAATCTCTGGCCTTCACATTTAGGTAGTCTCGCGCGCACGCGCACGCACACGCACACATCCTTAATCAACATGACTTGTCAAGTCCTTTTGACAAGGGGTTTAATACTCATTAGTTTTAGTGAAAGGAATGAAACTGACTAATTAATTTCATTTTTAAGATTTTATTTTATTTTATTATTCAGGGGTACAAGCTTGTCACCCATCCGCGAAATTCGCCGTTTTAATCCAAAATAGGTAATTTGTGTGATTCATGTCGATCTGCAATAAAAATAATTTTTTTTGGGGGGGGGTGGGGTCTGGGATTGGAAAAAGAGAAATCTCCAAAGAGGCGTTCTGGGGCAGCATAGACAGGTCTTTTCTGTGTTAGAGTTTTACTCGCTACAGGGTGTACTTTGAGGGTTTGTGACTCTGCAGAATGTTTACATGCAGAAAAACCTTCATAATACACAAGGGGACGGGTAATAACCGGAAAAGCATGACATGGGACCTATAATCAAGTTTTTTTTAAACTTGATTACAGATTTGGATGAATGATGTGAAATATAAAGTAACTAAAGGTATTAAATACATGTATTGGAGGAAAAGTACACCTTTTACCTCTGAACTGTAGAGGAGAAGATGAACAAAGTACCAAGACATTGAAATACTTAAGTAAAGCACAAGTATCTCAAAATGTTACCCAAGTATAGTACTTGAGTTTATGAATTGGGTTACTTTACACCATTGGCTATAAAGATAGAAAGACTAAACCTTGCACAGAGGCATGAAAATACATTTTCAAAATGCTCAACAGTGCTGCCAACATTATAAACTGACTGCTACACAATTTAAAATACATGCTTTTATATATTTCTATTAATCTGACTCTTTGGCGTTTCTTTTATTATTGACACTGCTGCTTTAGTTGTTCTGACTGCTAAAATCTTCTGTTATTCCTAATTTTAAAGCCGATATTCCATGGGGTCGGGGTCTCGGATCCTTGTCACCTTTTTCATACCTGATGAGTTTGCATCCCTGATTATTGACAACCAAGTGCTTGGGTCTTGGTTATAGTTTGCTTCCATACCATTTTCTAACATACTAATAGACATCTTAGTTAATGTTGTGACAAAATATTTTAGCTTGGAAAAAAATAAAATAAACATTTTGAATCAGTTTACAGCTCCACACGCCACGGCATGCTTTGTGAGCAGAGAAGCATGTTCAAGCTTTTTCCACAAAGTTAATACCAGCACCACATCAAAAACATTTGTAAGCTTGAGATTCAAAACTTAGTCTGACATGTTAGTTTCTTCTTGATGTACATTATTTTAAAGCGTTCATAAGAGGTGTAAATCACCGGTTTCATCACAACACCATATCGTATACATTATTTGGAAAACAATAAGACATTTGCAGATGTCACGAAGTCTGCTACAAACACATTTCAATTACACTCAGGGCCCGGGATGTATATGATCTGCCAGAAGAGCATGAGACGGATAACCTGTCTTTCCCTCAGTGCTAATGGCACTTCAGAGATTTAGCAGGGCAGGAATACAACCAATCAGAGCCGGGGATTCTCTAACGCAGCGTCAGTCACTGTTTTTCTTTGTCAGTCTCAGATCTTGCCCTGACTCGGTATATTCTCCAAGTTTGGAACCACCAGTTTTTACTTAAGTTGAAATATACCTTGTTGGCACCTTGAACGATGCCACCCATGTTTGTTTATAAAAGTGTCATTCTTTTAAGATAGTTTGCTGTCTGAACATGCTCTGCAGTGTCACTCAATTGCAGAGCTCATATATTTGCTGAGGGAAATTAGATTTATTTTGGCAAACATAGGTGTTAGGAAAATTAGTTTCAACAAGTTCTGACATTTTTATTAACTCAATTCTGATACGGTTACACTTTATTATCATTGAAAAATGTGTTAGTTTGCAAAATAATTTAATTGATTTAAGATAAATAATTGTTTATCATCAGAAAGCTCTAAGAAAAACTATTATGCATATGCATTACAGCAGTTTAACTGAAAACTTGGGTACGCCATGCAAGGAAATAATGCCTCTGCCAGGGTAAATGAACTGAACAACTTCTCCTCCCCTCAGGTGTTGGAGAACGCAGAGGGAGCTAGGACAACTCCTTCTGTCATCGCCTTCACAAGCGAGGGGGAGCGCCTGGTGGGCATGCCCGCCAAACGCCAGTCAGTCACCAATCCTCAGAACACACTGTACGCCACCAAGAGACTGATCGGACGCCGCTATGACGACGCTGAGGTGCAGAATGACTTGTGAGTGACCTTTGGCATTTATAAAGCATTCTACATTACTCCTGCACTTGTGAATGGTTTCCCTTAGTCGCTGCAGGGTGTAAGGACAATGTACCTGAGGACAATATGTGATATTAGGCCAGTGGTTCTCAAACTTTTTCTGTCAGGCCCCCCCTTCGGAAAAAAAGAAAAGTTGGGCCCCCCAACAAAAATAGTCACGTAACAGGCCAAGTTAAAGGAGAGGTGTCATGGCCATTTCCACTGATCATAATTCCATTGTTGAGGTATACTAAAATTGAAAAATTCTGTGCAATTTTCCAAACTCTCATTGGTTTCGCATACAGCATCTCTGTAAAGTATGTGTATTCAGCAGTATTCACTTTCTCCACTAAACGGCTCGCTGCAGCTCCCCCCCCCCCTCCGTGATTTCCTTGTTTAGCGATACAGAGCCAAACACAACCTGAACACACACAAAGTCACAGCCGAAATAAAAACAATAAGTGTGGCTTGATATTGAGTAACAAAAAGGTTTATAGGTTGATAAACGCTGTGAGAATGGGTCTGCAGAGAGAATTTCGCTCGATCCCAACTGTCTTTTATCAGCCTGCAGCACGGAGCAGAAATCAGCAGGGCTGCCTGCACTGAGTGTGTGTGTGTGTGGATTGGTCAATTTGGACCAATCAGCGGGGGCTTAACGTAACGGCTCCACGGATTGGCCCATTTAGTTCCGGGTATGTGCTTATCAAATGGATGATGACGTCATGATGACGTTTCACCAACGAGGCGTTTTGGCGAGGTATTTTCTGTTTTAGAGTTTTACTCGCTACAGGGTGTAC